CCGTCCACACCGTATGAGGGTGTTACTATTCCTTGTTCTTATCGAACAAAGAACGATAACTTTCACACGACGAGATCGGATCGCAATATCGCTGGTCACTGCACATAGGAGAATTGTGACTAATTTGTCTTACTCCACTGTGAACGAGCGTGACTAGTAAGAGGATGAGTGACCACTTCTGATGAACAAATCGTGCATCATTATGGATTTAGTCACTATAAAATAGAGAATTATGACGTAATGTCTTCCTCTAATGTGTCAAAACTACTATTAGTAAGAAGACGGGTGACTACTTCCCAAGATCGAACTATAAGTATGGTACTTTACATTCTACTTACATATCTGTCTCGACTTTTGTTGATGAAAGTGACTAGAAACAGTTTATGTTAAAGTATGAATTATTTCTGATAGAATGAAAGGAAATATTTAATGGAGAGAAGCAGAATATGTGTGAATATCGTGTCTTAACTCTGTCTTTCTCGAACGAAATCGCCTGACGAGATCCTTAAGAAAGGTTGAACCGGGCGTGGTATCTTCCTTTCAGATCCCTTCGAAAACGAATTCTGTTTTGAGTCTCCAGTAACTGATAAGCGCTTATAAAACTAAATTAAATTAAAATTGTATCGAGTCGAGTTTTACATCTTTCAAGGTTTTTCGAAAAGTTAGTTTCGGCAAGTTTTGCTGAAAAACAATTCTTTTACATTTTTGTTGCGTTTAAAGTTGTTAACCGCATCATATTCTTTTGAGGATATGAAGCGTTGCTGCTTTTCGCTGCGAGCAAACTGAAACTAGAAGTCGAAAAAAGAGAAAAGAAATGAAAGAAAAAACTGGTGATTCAGCACGAATTAGTAATGATGACCTTCCTGCTGCGTTGGAATTCGATGACTTATTGGACACTTCCAAAGAGCCAGCAAAAACTGTGAAGTGATGGAGCGGCTCTGGTGGAAAGGCAGGTCCATCAGGTATCCTTCTCAGTTTTTGATGATCTTTCGAACTGAATGAACATTGTACACTATTTTTATTATCCAACGTTGTCAAATATACTGCGGTAGCTGGGTAATGAAAATAGTATACAAGATGATAACTAAGCAAGTCAATTGAACAGCCCAGTGGTGCCAGTAACGATCGCCTTTCGCAGTATGTTAGTAATAGTGTCCAAAGTAGTGGTGAGAGATTTTATCTTCGTTGATTGAGACTTTTAGTCAAAAAAATATTTAAAAAAATATGTTTCCATACGTGTTTTGTATTCGATATTTTTGAAATAAGAATTTACATAAGGTTTTGTGATGTTTTTCAGTTGCAGCTGAAAATTGTTTGAAACAAGGTATGCAAATGGAGTATTTCTTTACTCAATCAGAACATCGACTACAAGTAAGAGATTCTAAATGGAATTTACAGATGTAATTTTTATTTAAATCAACCTTTTTTTTGTAAATAAATCAGCACGTAAAAGAATGCTGTTCAAAGACGTTTCACATGCAAGAAAATACTGATTGTCTCTTGATTTTTGAAGAAGCTGCGGGAAAGGAGTGAAATTCGATTTATAATTACAGTTATTATCTTGATCAAAAAAACACGATTAGTCGCGCTAGATGTGGTACACCTGAGTGCAGTTTCATAAGTGTGGGGCTGCCTCATAGAAAAAGAAGAAACCATGGCCAAATCACAGAGCTTTGGAGCTAGAGACGACGGCCACCGATGGTAAGGTAGACTACAGTTAACAATCATCTGCCATCGGTGAGACCCGCTCAACTGGACCTTTGATTGATATGCCGCCCCCCGCGCACCAAATTGCACCAACCCGCAGCACATAGACCGGAGAGAAGCGAGCGAAAGTTTCAGAAAGTCTGACTTAACCCAGCAATCTGCGCGTCCTAGACGGCTGGCCACTGTCCAGTGGTATCTTCGGGCTGTATGAAATACATTGTACTTCAGTGTACGTTATTGTGTCACCTTGCGTTATCTCAGTAAAAGCATTGCACACTGAAGCGCAGTCCAACGGCTTGTCCACGTAACGCGACACTTCGCTGATCAAGTTTATAAAAAAAAATTTTCGCCTTCGAAAATTTTGAACACATCACTAGATGTAATTTTTAATTCTAAGGACCCGTTTAAAACGCTTTTTTGATAAAAATTGGTTTTTGAGTCTCAAAACTGGTTTTGGAACATTTCAAAAATCGCATTTTCTATTTTTAGCCGAGATAGTTTTCGAAAAATAAATTTCTGAACATATGATTTCGTAAAAAATTTAATTCTCTACAAAATGGCGTATTTGGTTTTGAGCTTCACCTTTAGAAAATTTGTACATATTTGTACATTTTCTGACTTAATTTACAGTTTTTGACCCTCCAACCCGAGGTAGTGCCTTTATTCTTGTGTATATCGACTGACTGTGGCACGAATAATTATCTGTATAATATCAAAATCTCCTGATCATGTTAAGTCCCTCGAAAACACTCGACAAAAATAGTGCGTAACACCGTTACGTTTATGTTTTGATGTTTTTGCCTTAACTGAAGATGTTGGAAAAATTCTTTTTTTATCATCGGATAGCCCGTTTGGTGCTCTACAATTTCTGTGCTAAAAACTTTTCATTATGATCTTTACCTTTGTCGGAATTCACGTTTTTATTGATAGCACTCGAAAAAAAGGGTCTTTTTTCGTAACACCGTTACGGCCTACAAAAACCGTTCTCAAAATTCGAGACTTCATGTAAAAAATTTCGTTTTTATATCGTAAATGGGGGTCGACGAGCTGCATCGAATGGCGTTTAAATGAGCTTTTTAACTGTTTTAGTTTCCGAGATAATTTCATTTTAGTGCGCCCAAAACGTAACAGCGTTACGTTTGGACAAGTCGCCAAGAACATCCACGTGGTTTACAGCGCCAAGAGAGTGTGGCTTTGGCAGAATGGCTAGTGGCTGCTAAAATGAATTATTTGAGCTAATGGAGGGACGTTCCGACATTCGTAACAGCGACATACATATCATTGAGCCAGAGATGAGCCATAGCTCACCCGTGGGGAATTCAGATTTCAGAATCGCATTGAAAAGACTGTTTTTGAAGTCGGACAGAAAACTCAAAGTAGCTTAAGGGTTATCATCTTCTTATAAATTTAATGACTAATGCAGTGTATATATGGGTCATTTCGATCTATTTTCAAGCGGTCATTTTCAGTTATCAACGATACTAATATTATAAAAGTATACATATTTGCTTGTGATGAAGAGGATATATAGAGAAATATTTGTTTATTTCATAGAGATGAATGCTTTTAATTCATCATAATAATTAAAACTAAGACAGCGGCAATGCCATGTTTATTAGAAGAATGCTTCCTAAGTTAAAGTGCTAAATGTGCTCTGTCGTTTAGTTTAAAAGCATCTGAAAGGTTTATTATTGAATAGATAGTATAAAGACCTTTGTTAGTCACAGATAAGTGGTAGCAAAATCTTTGAATCTTTATGCGGAGAAAACAGCACCAGTCGCCATTTTAGACCAAGATTCTTTAATTGACTTACACATGCTGCTGTGGATAATCCGATCACAATGGCGAATAGTAACTGTATAAATCGATATCAGATGAGATGACTATAAAAGCCTCTGTGGTTCATCCGTTGGCATATCTTACTTGAGTCATGTACAGCGGCGTCTATAAAAATCTTGATATTATTGCTGTGATCGCCATCTCCAAGCTCTAAAAGTTCTGTCTAGACTAATAGCGTCAATGTCATGTCTGAAACACCTTCGAAAGCATCACCGTAGGATTATTCAAGTGTAATTATGATAATTTAAAAAAAGAATATCATGATGATATTAATGTCGAATAATAAAATGAAAAAGAAACAAAAAACAGAATTAAATAAATTTCAGTCTAAGAATGCATAATGAGTGTCAAATATGTTAAACTCTTTTTCGTCTACTAAAAGAAGGTGTTTGTTGTCGTTTTTTATGTCTCACAAACAAGAAAATGACTAAGCATAGAATTAAAAGAAATATGATAACTGATGGAACAACTGCAGCAACTATTATTGATCGATTTGGTGATGTCGTTGAACCACAAGGTGTTTCTTGCGTCGCCTGGCTATCTTGAGATGAACAAATGTATAATATTTTCTTTTCGATAATCGAGTCGAGATTTAGGCGAGATGTAATACTACCGTTTTTTAATATTGAATTACTATCTTGTAATTGTTTCACAAAATTATCATACAGTTTCTCGGCAGTCTGAGTGTCACTATTATAAAAGCGAATGGTAGCTATTATCTCTTTCAATTCTTTTACAATAGATGATGATAAGTGAAATAAAGAAATTTGGTTTTCATTAGGTGGACGAAGAGCATGTCTCAGATCGTAGAGTAGTGTTTGATTAATTTCTTCAGTTGTATAAATACGAAACTTGAGTATGACCTGTGTTAGATTATCAAACCTCAATGATGGTGTTATTGTTGGTGTTAAAGTAGATGTTGACGTTGTGTCACTGGATATAACCGTAGAGGTAGATGATGTTGTCACAGGGCTGATGTTCGCTGAATCTTCTGTATCGTAACCGGGTGAAATACTGCTATACGTTACAGAAACTTCTGTGGACGATGGTTGACTAGCAGAACCGTTGTCGTTCGATGTTGTATTCTCTGTCGTATCCATTGAAAAAGGAGACTCCGTAAATGATTCAGGAGTGCTAAATGTCGTATCCATTGAAAAAGGAGACTCCGTAAATGATTCAGGAGTGCTAAATGTCGTATCCATTGAAAAAGGAGACTCCGTAAATGATTCAGGAGGGCTAAATTTCTGAAAGAAAATAATTATTTATATATATTTTACAAGTTGTTGCTCATTATAAGAGTTGAATAAGGTCAACTAACTCAGCTTTCCGCATAGCTTTATTGTATAGCTAATGTGTTACTTGATGGAAAAAGGAAAAACAGAAAAGAACGAAGGTTCTGAGCCTTACGTTTGACAGATAGTGGTTGATTGAACAAGAAGAATACTTTCTCATAACTTCTCTTCTTTCCTGCGAACAGTCAGAAGGTAAAGCTGCACCATGAGCATCCAGTGATGCGCATCAACTGAGCGTTCTCCTCAGATTTTCTCATATACACATACATAGAACTAGAGAAGCGAATGCTCAACTATGCTAGACGTTCAACATCATCATTCTGTAAAAGAGAGAAAAAAATGAATTAATTTACTAAAAATACCAGTTATCAAAGTTTGGCCAAAATACCTAGATTTGAACAGAATCTGATTCTTTTTTCACAAAAAATGTGAATGAATATTTTGAGCAAATAAAAAACAACAAGTCGCCTGAAATTTAGAATTTCAACTATACATCTCAATTTCGATAAAACAAAAGTAATGAAAGTTTCAGACCACAACTGATTTAGAGGTATGAGAATTATTCAGAAACAAATTCAAAAATGTACTAAGAAAAATTGTGGGCGTATCCACTTAGCTCCTCATAGATTTATACGATCAAGATTTCACTGTGCATCACTCTGCGCAGTCTATGTATCGTGTGAGGTTATAAATCCAAAGTTTTACGTCAGAGATAATATCGGTTCTGGAAGCAGCTTTGATTTTATCCCAATCGCTTCAATGTCTATTTTGACATACGACATCGGAGATTTAGCAAAACAGGAAATAAATTTGATTGGTTGTTTTCCAAGGGATAACTCGTAAAATTCTAAACTTCTCTTTTGTCTCTTACCAGCACTGTAAGAAATATGCAGAAGTGACTGTAATGTTAGTATTTCGTTAGCCAAACACGCTTAAAAACGGTATCTTGAAAAAATGGGATGCAGAGACCGATCGCTGTGCATATTTGAAGACGAAAGGAATAGCAATTATTCTTAATTTTATTTGTGCATGCAGTACAGAATTCTTACCATTGACGAAACATCTTGACCAGACGAATTATGTTGAAGTAGGATGAAAGCAAATATTAAAACAACTCGATACATTTTTTCACAATGTTAAATTTATTACTTTCATTCACATACTTACTTTCTTTTATATATATTGAATATAGTCAATAACGTTTCTTTTTATTATTATAAGCTAATCCACCATGTAAATGGCTATATTGATTAACTGGTATTATATTCAACACTTCCTAACAGATTTTTTCTCGTACCATGAATTTGATCATTGTCAAACAAAGTAAAACAAGATATATTACTCTCACCTTTTTTTTAGTATTATTGATGGAATTGTGTAGACACAGACAAATTCAAGTCTAAACTTGAAAGTTTGTTCAAAAACTAAACATTTATGGGGTGCGATTCTACTAGTTATCATAAAAATAATTCGATAATAAATAACAAAAAGTTTGATTCTTATTCTGTTTCATACTTCATTTCTAACTGACTAACAACAAGTTGAATTCATGTTGAATTAAAAGGTCGCAACGATCATTGATTTTTATTGAATAAAACTATAACAATTTAGTTAGGATCTGTAATCATCAACACCCATATTTTACAATAAAAAACATGAAATACCTCCACTCGTCTTTCGTTTTTTTGCGTATTTTCTTATGTTATTTATGCTGAACACAGCTAAAAAGAGAAACAAAATAATATCAAAATTTCTTTATTACATTACTCATCCCTCTCTCACACAACAAATAAGCTAAAATTACAAAAAAAAAAAAACTAAGTTGAAAGCACTTGAAAATTAATATTAACGGATGCGCCAGAATAAATGGCGGTCTCAGTATTTTCTACTTTTCTCGTGTTTCTTTAGGACAAGAGCGTAAGGTTAGTGTTTCTCTTTAGAAGATGCGCCGTGACATACTCTACAAAATAATACTTAAACTTTAATTTCAGAACTTCAATCAAGAAAACTATGAAAATTATACGAAAGACGAAAAAAATGAAAACTTTCTTAAGTCGGTATTTTTATCGACCTGAATTTTTTTCTTCTGCTATTATTTCCGTAAAAAAGTATAGCAAAAGTGAGAACACGGTTCTTCTTGTACTTTTGAGTATGCTCATTCTCGTAGTCAGGAAAAATTTTTTCTAGAGCAGGTGGTGTGCTGGAGAACGAAGTTATAAAAATATGTCAAAAATTGACAGTCCCGCGTTTCCAACAATGTGCCCAAATAAGAAACGGAAAACATGATCGAAGTTTTGATTTTGCAGTTAGATAGAGAAGAGCAATCATTTCTAATAAAAACAAAACAAATTCGATCGAAAAAGTTTTTGGTTTGATGGAGTCATGGGAGTTTTACTGAAAGCCCCACTAGCCAGAATTTAATAAATCAATGAGAAAACGCGTGACAACTGGCAGAAAAATTATTATTTTTCTATGAGTTTTGATGTGAAAAATGTGACGTATAGCTAAAGATAGAGCGAAGGCAGGGCTAAATAATGATTGATTCAGATTTTCTTACTTTCAAAACGTTAACATAAGAAATCGTTTTTGACTTTAGAAAGTTTTCATTTTTTTGGTCTTTCGTATAATTTGCATAGTTTTTTTGACTGAAGCTCTGAAATTAAAGTTTAAGTATGATTTTGTAGAGTATGTCGCGGCGCATTTTATAAAAAAAACCACTAACCTTAGGGTTCCAAAGAAACACGAGAAAAATAGAAAATACTGAGACCGCCATTTATTCCAGCGCATCCGTTACATGAGGACTTTTGCTGTACGACGTTGGATACTGTATTACCACTAGTGATTCCTTAATTTCTCCGTTCTTCCTGTATGTATCTTGTCGCAATCATTGGTATATCCAATTTTACGAGCTAAAATTTTGTTGTTTAACATACGATCTATAGCAGACGATTTTTCTTATTCTGTCATTTATCATGATGTTGCTTCATTCTTTTTAGTACTCTAAATGTTATTTGACCAGTATAAAGTTTGTGATAATTAACACAAATAATTTTGCATATGACTCTGATGTTGGTATAACCAATATCTTTATAGTTCTTGTTAAACATTTTCTTGATTGATAATCCTGTCTTAAAATAAGATATTGTTTTCAATACTAGAAACATCCTCTTCATTATTAGTTTTGACTTATTATCCATGATTTCTATTTTATCACCGAAATATGTGAATGTTGTAAACGATGATTTTCTTCACTTTTAATTATTTTCTCACAGATATTGTGCATTTTGTTCATTGATTATCATATTGTTCTATTGAGATTTTTAAATTTTTCTTTTTTTATCAGATTAACAACGTAGCCATTTCTTGTTAAATATTGTTTTATATGTTCATGCATCTAGTGACTGTCTTACAGAATATTATGTAATAGTCCGTGTAATTAATGTTCTGATTAAGTACATTTTATATTTTCTTGCTTAAACCCTAATACAATACAAATATCTACCTCTACTGATGAGTTTTCGGCGCATAACTGTATCATATTTGTTGCTTGTCTTCTGACATCAAAGGACTCGAACTAAAAATTATCTTCTTTTTCACATATAAATCCCACCTTTGTATGCAATTTGTTGAATACATCTATTATATCTTGGATATCATCTTGATTATCATTAATAATGAAGAACACATCATGCATGTATCTTTTTGTCATCAATATCTTGCTTTTGTCTATGATCCTCAGTTTTACCTTCAAGATGTCGCAGAATACGGTAGCCAATGGACTTTCTACTGCATACGATTGTTATTATCATCATGGAGTTATATTACAGCAAACAATATTTATACACATCTGAATATGAGCTATCAAGTTACACTGCTATCATTTGCTATTTCACAGATGGATGGTTTAGTTTATGCAATTCAATACAAAAATCGCTTATCTTTTACGAGATTCCGTTCTTATTTAATTTCACAGAGGCGGGATTTGCTTGTGAATCGACGCCGATTTTTTTTATAATCAAATAGGATAATATCGTAACAGCATGCGGATATTCAGTGTGTTTGAAGTAATTACCATCGAAATAATTATAATTGAGTTTCTAGGAGGATGTCAAATATTCGTAGATGCTATTATTTTTAAATGTATTTGGCTTCGAAACAGCCGTCAAAATGGTACATTCAATTATCAAAGAAAGGTCTTTGCTACAGAAATACTTTGCTTGTAATGCCAGTGCTTTGTAATACAAGTAAAACTGCTCACCCCAGAAAAATCTCGCAAAAAACCTACATATTAGTGTTGATATCTTTCATGTCGAGTACTAAGAACTGCTGTTACTATTAGACCGAATTAGTAGAACTTGTAGTTGCTTCTAACATGACTTTCAGCAAATGTATTTCATAGATAGACTAAACAGAGCAATTAACATTTACGTCAAGAAATTAAATCTAAAAGTTTCAAATAAAACCATGGAGAGCTCAAATCAATTTTCAATTATAGATATAACTTATGAAAAATCTAGTTTCAGAAACATATCAACAGTCTAGCTCAGTGACGTCCTTTCCCTGTCTTTTATCTTTAATTTCAACAGAAAATTACTCTGTTTTGCCTTTTCCTCAAAGTGAAGAAATCCTCTCAGCAGTGTTCGCCGCCACACACATGATCACATGATTTCGAAAAACCTCAAATACTTGTCAAGTAACAATACTTATTAAGAAGTTTAATCTGAAGATAGCGTCTATTATATATTTCCGTGAAATTCCGATCATGATGAATCCGATATAAGTGTGTGCAGGATATGTATTTTCCTGTGTAGTCATGTTTTTCCTAATGTCAGTACTTTTGCGTATTTTTCTATCAGTCTCTCATAAAAGTAGCAGAAAAAAATTGATATTTTTGAGAAAAATCTTCTTTG